TGTTTTTTTAGATACAGTCTCACTATGTTGCCCAGGCTAGCCTAGAACTCAAAATCACCTGCCTCAGTCTTAGGAGTTCTGGGATTACAGATGATCCACACCATGCCCAGCCGCTCAAGATTCTTAGTCATAACATGACAGTTTTAACTATAAATAATAAATGATAAATGTTTAAGGAGTAATTTTACTTTAATTTAAACATTGCACAATGAATGCAATATATACCTATATCTAAACATCACATTAGCCCACTAAAATGTATAATTTTTATGTCCTTATGTATCAGCTAAAATAAATTTAAATTTTTAAAATGCATGACAAATTGTTATTTTGTTGAGACATGGTATGGTTATAAATTCTGCAAGACTAGTGGATGGAGGAAAGAGACAGCTGTCAAGTAAGACTAAATATCCATATGAATCATGTCTTGGCTTTGATTTTTTTTTGTAGTAAAATTCCAAAATTTGGCCATTACTAAGTTTTCAGGAATTTCCCTAGAGGATATCAAGTGTTTAATTCACTTAAAAATATATTTTTAACAAGAGATGAAACAAAGAGGGTTTTCAGTTAGCTGATGGCCTTTGTCTTGTGAGTGTTTGGATTATTTCATTTTTATTTTGGTTAAATTCTTAAATTCTTTTGAAATTTTTATGTTCTGCCTAGAACAAAAACATCTTTATGCTGCTAGCAGAATCAATTACAATGAAATACAATAAAAAATAAATCAATCAAGTAACTAGGGCAAAAGTAATCATAGTGAGATTAAGCAGTCCTATTGGTTGCAAGTTCCATCACATGAATTCAAATCTCTGCCTGCCAGCTATGTGATCTTTCATTCAATGACTTGCCCTTTGCTGGTCCATGGTTTGTTTTTCAGGGGAAAATAACACTTACAATTGAAGTCAAAATTATAAAGTTAATATATGGAAGCCCTTACCACAGTGTCTAGCTTAGAAAAAGATTTCCTATAATTTCCATTAACTCCAGCAATTTACTGGTGATAGATTTCTATTTCAGCTCCAAGTTTCTAGAAACCAAAATAAGGTGAGAACATAATCAGTTCCAAGATTTAAGATGATTCTGAAGTCTGAAACAACTTTTTCCTTTGGAACATCATAAAACATGATACAATAGATAATACCAGAGTGGCATTCCCACAGTAAATGAAATTCCCATAAAACATCACATCTCTCAGTGAGAAATAATATTGCAACTATTGAGAAATATTCATAGCAGCAACTCAGATTGTTGAAAAATGATTCTATTTTATAGTCTTCTCATTTCTTTTGGTACATCACTGATGTTTTGGTTTTGCTGATTCACTGTCGTGTTTTAAATATTTAAACATTTAAATATTTTTTAATATTTTTAAATATTTTCCCTTTATGTACAGCTACATGTACAGCCAATTATTCACATCTTTTGTAGCTTTTTACTCTTCCTCAGCATGAAAGCTTGCATTAGTCCCTTACTTTCATTCTGTTGTTATAGATATGAATTTTCTGCTTCCTAAGATTTAATTTGGGAGCTGGGGATATAGCTCAGTGGTAGAGTGCTTGCCTAGCTTGTGGAAGGTCCTAAGTTCAATCTCTAGCACCATAAAATGGAAGGAAGGAAGGAAGGAAGAAAGGGAGGGAGACAGGGGGAGGGGCAGAGAGGGAGAGAGGGGAGGAAAGGGAGGGAGGGAAGAAGCAAGGAAGGAAAAAGAAGGAAGGGAGGGTGGGAGGGAATGAAAGATCCATGGTCTCTAGAATGGATAGCTCACAACTGGCATAACTATTCAAATCAAGGAGTTATGGTTTGGTGAAAGAATAAAAAGGGGACGTAGGGTAGCTGGAATGGAAGAGCCTTTCTTCCAAAGCCATGATAACCTTGTCAGTAACATAGCAAATGACAGAGACTAATGTTATATGTATGGAAAATATAACAGAGAGACAAGAGAGAATGTCAATCAGAAGCAGTAGGGCTAGAATGCTGAAGATAAGACTGACTTGGATGGAGAGTTCTAAACTAGCAGTGTGAAGTCTAAAGGGCAATTGGAAAGATCATCTAGGAAGTCAATAGTCTTTTCTCCTCACTTACATCATTCTTGATTCTTTATTCCTAAAGCCACATCCTACATGCTCAGAGTACACTTTATTTATGTGGTATTGGGTTGGGAAGTAAGGGAGTACTTCATTACTTGAGTTAGGTTTGTATTTTATCAATGCAAATACATGGTTTAAGAATCTCAGAATCCAGCAATACCACTCTTAGGGATATACTCAAAAGACTGTGACACAGGTTACTCCAGAGGCACCTGCACACCCATGTTTATTGCAGCACTATTCATAATAGCCAAGTTATGGAAACAGCCAAGATGCCCCAGCACTGATGAATGGATAAGAAAATGTGGTATCTATACACAATGGAATTCTATGCAGCCATGAAGAAGAACGAAATGTTATCATTCGCTGGTAAATGGATGGAATTGGAGAACATCATTCTGAGTGAGGTTAGCCTGGCCCAAAAGACCAAAAATCGTATGTTCTCCCTCATATTCGGACATTAGATCAAGGGCAAACACAACAAGGGGATTGGACTTTGATCACAAGATAAAAGCAAGAGCACACAAGGGAGATAGGAAGATAGGTAAGACACCTAAAAAACTAGATAGCATTTGTTGCCCTCAACGCAGAGAAACTAAAGCAAATACCTTAAAAGCAACTGAGACCAATAGGAGAAGGGGACCAGGAACTAGAGAAAAGGTTAGATCAAGAATTAATCTAGAAGGTAACACATATGCACAGGAAAGTAATGTGAGTCAGCTCCCTGTGTAGCTATCCTTATCTCAACTAGCAAAAGCCCTTGTTCCTTCCTATCATTGCTTATACTCTCTCTTCAACAAAATTAGAGATAAGGGCAAAATAGTTTCTGCCGGGTATCGAGAGGGTGGGGGTGAGAGGGAGGGGGTGGGGTGGCTAGTAAGGAGGGGGTGAGGAGGGGGGAGAAATGACCCAAACACTGTATGCACATATGAATTAAAAAAAAAACACTAAAATTAAAAGATTCAAAGACAAAGACAGCAAAAACAAAAAAAAGGAATCTCAGAACCTTTTTGAAAAACATTCCTCCTTTTTGCTTTTCTTGCCAGTATGGATTCCACAGGTATATTTTGTTCACTATCTGAAGAGTTTGGTGCTAACCAACAACTTTTAGAGTTTACCATTATAACTGCCACAGTACAGGAGCTCACTGTATATATGACCCAAACTAAGGTCCCCAAGCCCTGCCTGACACATATGACAGTCTGTTTAGTCTAACCTTCCAGGTCTGGTCCCTTATCAGCAGTTGTCTCTCTTTACCACCTCTTGGCCTTGTTTCCAGGGTTATTGCTCCTGGGAGTAATCCTAGGCTCTTTGCCATCATCCTTGACCTCTTCCTCTCTATTTTCACTCATTCCTCCAGCTTCAACTTAAAGAAAAGGTAAAGTTGGTAGGTACTGTGGGACTGCCTGCAAGTTTACCTTTCTAATAAGTTTTTTTAAAAATCTTCTTCTGCCTCTGTAACTTGGTGATTTCCAAGTCTTACTAATTATAACCAGCATAGTTCAAATCCAAGAAAAGATGCTATCTTTTTTTACATTGAAAGCTATAGTACCATAAATTATTTGATCATAATCCATATTCTAAGAAAGAGTATAGAAATAAGATGAGGATTTCTCAAGATACTAAAAGACCTTGGTCTTCTCCAAGGTACTGAGAAATATACAGAATTGCATATACAATAAATTGTTAACTGCCTGATGTGTCTATACTCTATGTTGAGTGCTGGGAATACAACACTGAATGAGAAGTAGTAACCAATCTTTGGGAAGCCTATAGACTCAAAAGGATAATATAGGTAGACAGATATCACAGCTATCTCAGACAAGATAGCTTCAGTTTTCCCATCTGTATACTAAGCACTTAATTAGATCTATATATTTCAAACATTCTTCCCATAAAACAATTCTGAGGACCAATAGATTAAGCACCTATAAATTGACCTATAAACTTATAACATAAAAAGAATTTTAATAGATAAAAACCTATTTAAAAAACAAAGAATGAATTTGCTAAGCATAATTTTTTTAACTTGAACCTCTCAGTAATATTTATTTCGATTTAAGTTGAATGCTTCTGGCACTAAGTTAAAAAAAACACCTAATTGATTAATGAAAAACTGAAGGACTACATTGTACTCTAAGATAACTCTAAGATCTTCTGTACATGTGTTTACTGGATTCTTTAATACTGTGTGTTAGATACATCTTTCAAGAGGAATTCACCCTTACAAATATAAATAGGAATTTCATGAATTATATATTCTTTTTTTTTATTTTTATTTTTTATTACTCATATGTGCATACAATGCTTGGGCCATTTCTCCCCCCTGCCCCCACCCCCTCCCTTACCCCCACCCCCTCACTACCCGGCAGAAACTATTTTGCCCTTATCTCTAATTTTGTTGAAGAGAGAGTATAAGCAATAATAGGAAGGAACAGGGTTTTTGCTGGGTTGAGATAAGATAACTCTACAGGGAGTTGACTCACATTGATTTCCTGTGCATGTGTGTTACCTTCTAGGTTAATTCTTTTTGATCTAACCTTTTCTCTAGTTCCTGGTCCCCTTCTCCTATTGGTCTCAGTTGCTTTTAAGGTATCTGCTTTAGTTTCTCTGAGTTAAGAGCAACAAATGCTAGCTAACTTTTTAGGTGTCTTACCTATCCTCACATCTCCCTTGTGTGCTCTCGCTTTTATCATGTGATCAAAGTTAATCCCCTTGTTGTGTTTGCCCTTGATCTAATGTTCACATATGAGGGAGAATATACGATTTTTGGTCTTTTGGGCCAGGCTAACCTCACTCAGAATGATGTTCTCCAATTCCATCCATTTACCAGCGAATGATAACATTTCGTTCTTCTTCATGGCTGCATAAAATCATGAATTATATATTCATGTTCTCTCTTAAATAAAACAGGTTAGATGATAAAGGCCAAGTGGTTCGCATCAACTTCAATAATGCAACTAGAGACACAGTGTTTGATGTGCCTGTTGAACGAGTTCAGCCTTTTTATGCTGCCCTAAAGGAATTTGTTGACCTCATGAACAGCAAAGAATACAAGTTCACCTTCAAGATGAACCCAGGTCAGTGAAGCCATTTTCTCAAACAAGTGAAAGGATTGACTTGCTCTAATTTTAACCATCTGGAATGATAACCAGAGCAGTTTTACTACAGAATCTTGATGAGCAGTTGACTTACTTATATAGGAGGTTCCTGATCCCCATCTCCGCTTTGTTGACTCCTCAGACCTAAACATATTCTTTTTTGCAAGATTCCAGGAAAATCCTTAAGCACTCCAAAACTTAAGAGCCTAAAACCGAAAGAAAAAATATTTGAAATGCAAGCTATAAACCAAATGAAATCTCATGTCTGATATTAAAACATGTTTTATATTTTCTATCCCGAAAACCTATTGATACAAGCTGAGACTTGTACTTAATTCTTCCAGCCTGCCAAACAAAATTATCTGTGTGATTTTCACTCCAAAACATATGAGTAATGTTTATTCATAAAACTATGGACAGGAGACATGGCTCAAGTGGTAGAGCACCTGCTTTGCAAGTGTGAAGCCCTGAGTTTAAACCTCAGTCCCACCAAAAAAAAAAAAAAAAAAACTCACTGGCAAAGATAGTAGTAATCTGAAATAAAGTAGAACTTGTAATATTCCAACTCTTTGAAGTACAGGTGTAGAAAGCATTGATTTTTTTTGGACTATATCTACTAACTGAAGTGCCACTAAACTTAGGCCTTTTTTAATTTGCTTTTTAAATTGACAAATGAAATTATATAAATTTATCATGTTGTTTTGAAATATGTATATCTTATGAAATGACTAATGAGCTAATATGTGTATTACTTCACAAATTTTCCAGTTTTCTTAGTAGGAATGCATAAAACCTGCTTTCTTAGCAACTTTCAAGAATAAAGTACATTGTTATTAACTGTAGTCACCATGTTATACAATTAGGCTCTTGAACTTGAAGATTTTGTTACCTGTTGTAAACTGCATAATTTCAGACTGCAGGTATGGCTCAAGTAGTAGAGTTCCTGCTTTGAAAAAGGGAAGCTCTGAGTTCAAACTCAAGTTCCCCCCTCAAAAAAAGAAAGCAATTTCTCCTGCGATTGAGATGGCTAAATGGAAGACTCTTTTTCCTTTTAATTGCTTTTATTTCTTTAGGGTTTTTTCTCATTCTTTCTCTTTCTTCCTTGTTTTTTTTTTTAAAGAGACAGGGTCTTGCTGTGTTGCACAAGCTGGTCTTGAACTCTGGGGCTTGAACAATTCTCCCACCATAACCTACAGAGTAGCTGGGATTACAGGAACACACACTTCACCCACCTGAAATTGTTTTTAGAGCTGGTTTTGTCATGATAAAATAATACTGTAACTCTCCATAAATCTATTGGCAAGCCTGCAGTCACAGCAGGTCAATTTTAAGAGTGACAACATACAAAATGGAAACACTATAGGAAAAAAATGAAAAAGAAGAGGAGCAGGAATCCAAATTGCACCATGTAGTGGCCATGTAGCTTTGAGCTACGTGGGCAGAGAAGCCTCGGTTTCTCATAGGCAAATAGATGAAATAATGCTGTCTTTTCAGTATTTCTTAAAAATAATTACATTAAAATGCTAGGAATGAACAAGACCATCTGGGAATATCACTATCCTTATAATTATTTGAAGCTGTTAAACCTTAAATAAACATTTCTAAGTAACAATCAGTAAGAACAATACAAAAGTTTTTACATTTCTTTTATGTAACAGTTATTAAAATGTCCACAGGAATCTACCAATCTATGAAGTTTTAAATAGCATAATGTCTAAAGCAGTTTACATCCAGAGACTGATTTGTTTAATAAAGGAAATGTGGAGTTTTATGTAAAGAATGATGAATCCCCTTGACACAATCAATATATGCTAATAAAAATGTATCTATATACGAGGAAACAAACATACTGTTCCTTGATATGAACAAAGTAGCAGAGGTATTTTGCATGCTGCATGTTCAAGCTTTGTAAATCATTTAAACATAAATTATTCATATTGAAAAAAATCTTTCACTTAGGTGATGTGATTACTTTTGACAACTGGCGCTTACTTCATGGTCGACGTGGCTATGAAGCAGGAACTGAGATATCACGCCATCTAGAAGGAGCATATGCTGATTGGGATGTGGTCATGTCCAGGCTTCGTATCCTAAGGCAGAATGTCAAGAATGGGAACTGAATATCATGTCTAATAAGAGTCCAATGACTACTTTGTAAGCTATGGCATGGTTATTAACAGATCATGATCTATACCATTTAAATATTAATTTCTTTAACACTGAACGTGTAACTTCTGTTACAGAATACTCTTTTTCTTGTAATTGTAGTCAATATCAACTTGTTAGGTGTTGTGGCAATATGCCCCTTTCTCTAAATAAAGTGTCCCTTCTGTTCTGGTGCATGTATTCTCTAATTTGCTTTGCCCAGACATGAGTGTCTCCAAACTCTCTTCAAGTAGTTTTGTATCAAATCATACTTTTCCTCAAATAAAGCATTTTTATAAATGAAGCTTTTGATTTGAGTAAAGTTTGCTTTTCAAATAAAACTTGTTTCAAAACATGTTTCTGTTCTGTTGCCTATAGAGTCTCATTCTTCATGACTCCATATGACTGCCTTTAGCATGCTTGGGAAAAGCCTTCATATTTTCAAAGATCTGTTTTATTTACTCTGATTTATAGAATTCTATTACCCAAATTTCCAGGCCTCACAGACAACCCAAATAAGCCAAATTAAAAAAAATTAGAGTTGCCCTACATTTCTCTTGTCCCAAATAAATACTCCTATAGACGGCCAGCTTACACCTGTCTGTGGATCACTTCTCCTCTTCTTCCCATCAACTAACCATGGGAAGGAATAAAAAACAAGATGACATTCATGAATGGACAGAAAGTTTGCCAACCTCTGGACAGCCTTGCCTGCTCATCTCAGCTTCCCTCATAGCTGCTTCCTCACCCTGGTGATTGAAATTCAGCTATGTATTTTCCACTCCTTCCCTACTGACAAAAGAGGAGTGTTAGCATTACCGTTTGCTAAAAACCTGGTAACACATAGATATTTTAGAACATTAAAATTTTGGACCTAACCAAGCCTTCTGTTTTAAAAAATCTTAATCATTGCAAGCACTGCAGAGCTTTATCGTTTATGTTAAGACCACATTTAAACATTACTTCCAGTACATTTTAACTTGTGCTTTACATTTCAGTTTCCACAAAATGTGACTACATAGTACTGAGAGTCTGGATCAAGAGTAACTTTATGCCATGTCAAGATGCCTCTATGACAACTCTGACCTCTCATATTAAGCCCACTTTTCTTTTTCCCTTGTAACATGGTCACTTCTAGGGCCATCATTGTCCTTTCCTATCATGTGGTCTTGATTAGGGCTACTGTAGTGTATCATACACATTTGATTCCATTGAACTTGAAAAGGAATGCTCCTGGAATGAAAACAGGTGAGTTTGATGTGGAAATAGCCTAGTTTTAAACAGCAACATTCAATACCTCAAAAAAAATTGTTGTATGACATACACTGAAAACTGTTGAACAACACGGGAAAAGGGTAGGGAAGGCTAATGGAGATTAGACTGATTAAAGTACAATGGATTTAGAGGTAAAAATACCAAGGCAAAAACTCATTGAACAGTAAACAGACACTTAAACAATGAAGTACAGGAATGTAAAACAGGTCAAATTAAGGGGAGGGTACTAGTAAGGTGGAAAGGGTAAATTAAGAGGGTAAAGGAGGATAAATATGGTTGATGTATTTTCTACACATGCATGAATATGGAACATTGAAACCTGTAGAAGCCATTTTAAGAAGCAGGGGAAGAGAAAGAAAAATGGAGGAAATGAACCAAACCATGGTACATTGTTTACACATATGGCACTATCACATTGAACCCCCTGAACAACTATTATGCTCTAATAAAAAATTTTTTAAAAAAGAAATATTATGCCAGGCCCTAGTGGCTCACGCCTGTAATCCTAGCTACTCAATAGGAGGATCACAGCTTGAAGCCAACCCCAAGCAAATAGTTCATGAGACCCAATCTCAAAAAAAAAAAAAAAAACTATCACAAAAAAAAAAGGACTGATGGAGTAGCTCAAGCGGTAGAGCACCTGCCTAGCACGCATGAGTCCCTGAGTTCAAACCTCAGTGCTGAAAAAAGAAAGAAAGAAAGAAAGAAATATTATGATGAAATCCCATTGTATAATTAATATATACTAATAAAAAATGGAGAAACAGGGACAATTTTTTTGTTGGAGTGATACCAGATTCATTCATCCACAGCATCTAAATTCCAGGTAATTTCTAAGCCAAAGTGACACTATAATTTTATTTATTTGACAGATATTTATTATACATCTGGTGTATGTCAGGCACTCTACTAGACTAAGGATAAAGAAGGACTTGAAAAAAATAGTATGCCTCCTTACAGCCTATTAGGGGAACAGATAAGGATGAAGATAATGTACCTTTCAACAGAATGGCTCATAGGAAGACAACCAAACCAGACTGAGGAGTTGAAGAAAAGTCTCAGTCTGAATTGTGTTATGAAAGCTAATAATATTTTCCAGTTAAGATGGGAAAATAACTTTCTAAGTTAAAGAAGAGGCACAGATAATACAGTAAACACAGCATGAGTTGAGTGACAAGGGAGAAAAGTAGACCATGTGGTTGGATGCTTAGGCTCAAATCATTATACTGACAGTTGACCATGTATCTTTGGACAAATAACATTTCCCCTTAAGCCTTCTATCTATAAGTGAGATTAATAACTGCTTTTATTTCATTAAATTTTATGAGGCTTAAATGGAAGTTTAAGTGAAGTAGTATTTTCTCAAATATCTCAAATGATGAATCACACCAATGGTACTTTAAAAAAAAAAATACATGTATCTTTGGACAAATAACATTTCCCACTTAAGCCTCTATCTATAAGTAGATTAATAACTGATTTTATTCTTAAATTTTTATGAGGCTTAATTGGAAGTTTAAGTGAAGTAGTATTTTCTCAAATATCTCAAATGATGAATCACACCAATGGTACTTTAAAAAAAAAATACAGTTTCCCAGACCATTCCCTGAAGATCATGATTCAATAGGTCTGGGATGAGGACCAGCAACTGTATTTTTAGCAAGAATTCCAGGTGATATGAATAATTAGTAAAGTTCAGAAAAATACTGATATACAATATTAGCATAGTTCCAGGCTCAGGGTAAGTACTGTAGTTGTTAACTATTATTATTTATAATAACAAAGATAATGGAGGAAAAGGGTGGTTTAGAGAGAGCAGAGATATATGAAACTAGAGACAAAGACAGGACCAAGACATTGAAATGTCTAATGCATGCTGTTATTATAAGCTGGTTTTTATCTTAAAAGCAAGTGCTGAATTTAAAGGTTTTAAGCAGTAAATTGCCTTCAACAGTATTTATTTTCAAAGACCTATCTGGCTTCATTGAAGGAGGAATTGCAAATGAGCAAGACTAAAACAATAAATCTACTTACAGTTTACTGCAGGACCAGATTAAAATTTTAGAAGAGTTGAATTAGAACACGGGAGAGATAGCAGAGGCTAATTGGAGTTTAACCTATTTAGATAAAGATGAGGGACATACATAGGTTTTCTCTCCAGTCTGTTTAGGAAATGGGTTATGCCAAGGGAAAGAATCCACAAAAGCGGGAATTACAGCAGTTCAGCGAGGAATCAAATTGGTTTTGAACAAACTGAGCTTGAGTCATCCTTACACAGACCCATTTGATTGTCAGATATATGTGCACAGAGAGCTCAACACAGAGAATTCGGTTAGAGATGTACATTTGAAAAGCATATAAGATGCAGTTGAAATCATTGTTTGTTTTCCTGTGGACATTTAGTGATGTACCAAAGTCAAACCCTAATGGTTTGATGATAAAACTAATGATATGGCTTAGCTTATGGATCAGTTAATGCAGAACATAGGGAATCAGTGTAGGCTTGTATTCAAAAATCAGATAAACCTCTTACTATTTTTTGTATCTCCAGGAACAATGTTCCACACCAGTCAATTGCCTTGCCATTTCCTTCACTGCTGCAATATTTTGCCCTGGAAAGGGACAGAATGGATGCAGTTGTTACATTTCTGAGTTTATATATGACATGACATATTATGGGGCTATAGCATCTGGTGCTGACTAAAGATGATCAGGTTTCCTGGATATAGCATCTAAAATTCATTTCTCCCACCCCAAAACTCACAATGACTGATTAACTTGATTAGAATTTACCCTAGCAATATAGTTGCTTACTGCTTCCATTTCTCTGATTTGGAAATGTCAGCTGCTTGGCTAGTAATTGGAATAATTTCCACAGATCACCGAATACATGTCATGTGGTCCTCATTAATCTCTATTTCTTCTTCTAGCCATCCACTAAAATGTAGCATAAGTGAATATTGCTATATGGAATTTGTAGAAAAACTAAGTGACCTGAGGGCAATTTCTCTTTGGGACTTTAAACTTTGAAACAGGAGATACTTTATAAATACAAATATTCTTGTGTTAAACATCATTTGGAAGATATAGTTGAACCAAAAGTTCCTGCGATAAAAATGTGATGTGGTTGGACTTTACAGCTTAGTAAGTACCTCTGAGACTCTGCACATTTTTTCCAACTGTCTGAAATAAACTTCTCTTCTATCTTTTATGCTAAAACTTCTTTTCCCTTTCAAGATTGTCGATAAATAGTGGACTAGGAGGCCCTCCATTCCTTTCCTCCACATTAACAATGATTTGGCAGCCATCCATGGACTAAAGCTTTTGCAGGGTCTCTGGGAACCAAACAGGCAGTCACAAAGCCCCATTGGAGCCCAAGACCAAGAAAGGCTGTTTAAGGAGACAAATTTACAATCAGGCAGCAGTCTAACCAACTATGGCTCCAGCCATAGACCCAGAAATGACTCTATCACCCTGCGGTCTTACAGATAGCCCTCTTTGGCCTTGGTCTTGCCACAAGTACCATCTGGCTTGGGACCTAGGTGAGTATTCCCTCGATCCAATGGCTTATGTACAGGCTGAAAAATGGTCCACATAGGTGACTGGTGATCAAATGTTTCTGATATGCCCAGCTGGTCGATATGGAGGCATACTTCCTCACTCAGTCCACGATAGATCTGAAATAGCAATAGAACTCTGCTCCATTCCCTCTCAACTAGGAGCAATCCTTTCTTCCCAGGGATCTACGAAGAGATATTCCCATTCATGCCCCTTGAAGTAGACCTGCCAACCAAAGCAGTTGCAATATCAAGCATCCTAGGAGTCCAGCAGGAGACACATCCATGTATGCACACAGTCTCAGATCTAGATCCTGAATATCTTGTAGTGCTCTCCCAAAACCACCCAATACTTGGTAA